TAGCTAACTGTATGATTTCGTCCACATTCAACACATCCACACCCTTATTTCGATTTGTGCTCATCATTCACCAACGCCTAGCAACCGATACAGAGATGCCTTAAATAGATTTTATTAAAAACTCATAAAAATATCTACTAGATTTTATCATATAACTCAACTATAAAGTTCTCTTTTTCTCACAAAAATAATAAGCAACTATATTCTACATTGATACGGACGATAGTTTATTGTCATTTTTCATTTCAATGATTAATTTTTTTTGTTTCCTAAATATTTCTTTAGGTATATCATATTCGTCGATGAATCCATTCTTCATGACAGCAATTTTATCACTATCCATAATTGTATTCACACGATGAGCAATTGTTAAAATAGTCTGATTGAAAAATTTTTCACGTATAACTTGTTGAATTAGTTCGTCTGTTTTTGTATCAACATGTGCTGTTGCTTCGTCGATTAATAGAATTTTACTTGGTTTTAGAATTGCTCTAGCTATACATATTAATTGACATTCACCAACACTAAAATTACTACCATATTCTGCTATTTGTATATTTAATTGATCTTTTAATTCATAAATCTTTGTTTTTAATTGAACAGCTTCTAATGCATTCCATAATTGCTCATCTGTGTAATGTTTAAATGGATCTAAATTATATCGAAGTGTATTACTGAATAATATAGGAGATTGTGGAATAATATTTAATATTGATCGTAAAGCATTTAAACTGATTGTATTTATATCAATTCCATCAATTAAAATTTCACCTTCTGTTGCTGATTTATCAATTAATCGGAATAATGCTTGAAATATAGACGATTTACCAGCACCTGTACGCCCAATAATACCGATTCTATTTTGTCGAATAATTTCCAAATCAATTCCTTTTAATACCGGTTCAAGTTCTGGACGATATCTTAATTTATAATCTTTAAATTCAATTCTTCCTTCCATTGGCCAATTCACTGGTGGTTCAATTTGTCCTTTGTAAAAATCTGATTCCGACGGAATGTGAGAATATTCATCAACTCGCTGAGCACTAGTCATAAAGTTCTCCGTTTCAGCCGATTGACGTACTGCCCATTGAAAAAGACACGTTAAATTAATACAGTATGATAGACTTAATGCAACTGATGATGCATCTATAGTATTACGTAATGCAATAGATAACATGGCTGTCAAAAATGTAAAACAACATGTCATTAAATCTAATCTTAAACCAAACCATCTACCTAAACAAATGTATAAAAAATGTGCACGTATATTTGCATTGATTTTATCCATAAATAGATTTGTAAATTCATTTTGCACACGAAATGCTCTAATGGTCATTAATCCACTTAATGATGATGAAAATAATGCATAAACTGGACTTCTACTGACACTTTCTAATCGTTTAAGACTTCGACTTGATCCTAAATAATATTTTCTCAACCACAGAAATAATGGAATAATAGGTACTAATATTAATAGAATCCATGGATTAGACATCCCAACAATAACAATACAACCCAATACCATTATTAGTGATTGAATTGTTTCAAAAAATGTTTTTGGTAATAGTTCATCAATAACTTGTTGATCTTTACTAAATCGATTTAATATACGACCAACTGGATTGCTTTCATAAAATCTTAATGAACTATATAAAACACCTTTGAGCATACCATTATGTAATGTCGATGCACCACACAATATTAAATGGAAAAAATAAGTAGCACGAAGTAATGCAATGATTGATGTACCAATTACTAATCCTAAATATATGTATGAATAGTGTGTTTTACGTTGTTCTATTTGTATCTTTGATGACCATATACTTAACCATTTATTTGTTGCATCATAAATCCCTTCCCCTAATAACATTAAAAATACCAACAATATTAATCCAAACCATCCATAACTGGATGTAAATAATTTAGACCAAACATTAATACTAACTGCTCCATCGACAGATATTTCATTTTTAATAATACTAGTTTCATCGATAATCTCGGATTGATTTGTAGAATCGTAATCAGGGATTATACTACTATGTCGTCGATTACGTTCATTTGTATGGTCTTGTTGATTGTGATAAGATTGCTTAATTTTATCTAATGTTAATAAATCATTAAATAAACCTTGTTTTTCTATTTTTCCATTATCTAACAAAATACAATGATCAAATTCCAATAAAAATTGTATCTGATGTGTGACTAACAATCGAGTTTTATTCTTTAAAATTCCTTCATTACTAATACAGTGTTTGAAAATACTTCTTGCAACTGATGAATCAACTGCTGCTAATGGATCATCAAATAAATAAATATCAGCATCAGTATATAAAGCTCGAGCAAGTGAGATACGTGCTTGTTGTCCTCCACTTAAATTGACACCTTTTTCACCGATAATTGTTGAATCACCAGCTGAAAATGATCTTAAATCAGTAATTAATTGACATGCTTTTACCACTCGTTCATATTTTTCCTTATTAAAAGGTTGACAAAATAATATATTTTCACGTATTGTACCAGCAAATAACCATGGTGTTTGAGATACATATGCTATCTTACCATTTACCTTACTAATGCCTTGAACAAGAGACATTTCACCGAGTATAGCTGATAAAAATGATGATTTAGATGAACCAATTGTTCCTATAATACCAATTAATGAACCATTAGTTACATTTAAATCAATATCAATTAATTCACAAGATTGAGTAGAACCCCAAGTAAATGATGATTTATTCATTATTATACTACCTGGTATACGACTAGAATGATTGCTTGAATACTCTTCGACAGTTTTTGTACGAGCCGTTTTAGATAAATTCATGAGTTGATTAATACGTTTTGATGCTATCATACTTTCACTTAATTTCTCCATAGCTACAGGTAATTCATCTATTAGTGGATATCGTATATTGCTAAATAGGGATAAAACCATGAATATATTTGCAGACGATAATACTTGACCCATTAACCAGCTTCCACCAAATGTGGCTAACGATATTAATGGTAAAGATGCAAAGAAAATACCCATATTAATTGCTCGAATTAGACTTGCTTTTCGAATACCTGTAAGTTCATTTTTCCTTGCATCACAAACAATATTCTCTAATGCTTCTTCCCATCTATACATTTTAACGATTTCACAACCAACTAAGATTTCATTGATCACTTTTACACGTTTATCAGCCCATTCAACAGCACTTTTTCGATATGTTCCAAATTTTTTACTAAAAAATAACTGTAATGGTACTGAAAGTAATAAAACACCATAACCAAATAAGGTTGGAATACCAATTTGCTTCCAAATTATAATGAAGACAATGATTGCTTCTAATGGTGCTGCCCACATAAAATGAATAATAGTAAATAATTCTTCAAATTTACTAACATCATTTGAAATTAAATTTATTATTTGACCTGTTGTTGTCTTTCTAATTGCGCTTGTCGGCAATGACAATAATCTCTTATAAATAATCGATGATAGTGCAATTCGTATATGCATTCCATTTCTTGTTGCACGAAAAAAATATTGGTGATGGATAAGTGCTTGCAAAACGATAGCAAATCCTAGTCCAATGGCATATAAATAGCCTTCGTATGAAGGTCTATTACTATCATTAATTGTATCGACTATTTGTTTTAAAAGCAGTGGTTGAGCTATTTTTGTAGCAATAAATGGAAAAAAAATGAGACCAGATAATAAACATTCTTTCCAAAATGTTTGTATGATTACTTTCCATGTACTGGCATATTCATATTTATTTTCATTTATTTCCCATACAGTTTCAAATTTGTTTAATAATTGGCCACATTCATCATTTGATGATACATCAAATAAATCATCATCAGTTAATTGACGTTTACGACCAGTATTTAAAATTGGATTTAACCACCACCAAAACAAAACATAAATCCATCTTATCCACTTTGACTCAGCCCAGTCTAAAGCACAAGGCTTCCGAGAATGGCAAGATATTGGAATAGAGATTTCTTTGACACGGGTGGCTGCTGTTGCTGCTACTGGCAGGTTGTTATTAACAATCATATCCTTATATGTTAAAAGATAAGAATAATATCTAGAATATAATATAGAGAATTACAATTTTAGTTGTTTTTATAATGGAATCAACATTATGAGAACCATAAGATGTGGGTGTGATATAACGAACAACAGAGAGTCTACTCTCTCCTTTATTTCTTCTTCTGGTTTATATGTTCATTAATCAACGAGCTAGCAACGAGATGATTTTGTAGCGTATAGCGAACGAATTTTCATTTGGCGACATAGAAAGAATAACAAAAGAAATCTTACCTCGATAACAAAGTAGTATTCTTAAAATTTACTGCACAACAGAAACCGCTACGAATGTTCTTTATTTTGAATATCAACAATCACATCGCTTCTATAAAAAAAAGTATGCACTTATATACTCATGTGTTACCGAGAAAATGAGAAATGAATGATAAGGTCGAACAAGGTGTTGGAAAGAGCATGATCAGAATAAAATGCATGGAAGCATATAAAATGAAAGAATGATAAGATCGAACAAGGTGCAAGAAAAAATATGATAAGAATAAAATGTAAGGAAGCGTTTAAAAGGAAAGAATGATAAGGGCAGATCGAAACAAAATACAACATGACATAAAAAATAAGGACAAAAATATAAGGGCAGATCAAAACAAAGAACAATATGAAGTACAAAGTAAGATCAAAAGCATAGGGGCAGATCGAAATAAAGTACAATATGATATAAAAAGTAAGGACAAAAGCATAAGGGTAACACACAAACTAGAAAGCCAAGCGGGAGCGTTACATACATGTAGCCATAAGTGAATTATAGGCAATTGTATAATTTCAGTTTCTGAAATCTTTCTTTTTTTAAGATACTAAAATTACGATACAAGCACTCTAGGGTAAAAAACGATGAAACTTTGTGAGTATGTGCTACTGTAGGTACCCGAGCACAAACTGATGATTTCGGATCATCTGTTCAAGCTTGTCGGATCCTCTCAATCATCGCAGGTATATCATATATTCAACGTGGGTGTAGATAAAGAAAAAACACCAATACACACCCACACCTTCAAGATCTCTACGATTCCTGTCTTTACTTGGGAACACATATGGCGAGAAGTATGAGTAGAAATTATTTTAGGAAACTAAAAATCATTTTTCTGCTAAAGTACATTTTCCTTAATAAGTCAGTCATCCCTCGAAGAAATTTTCTGACTACGTTTTTGAAATGATATTCATTATTTTATTATTTCCTTTGATTGAATCAAATATTTTTTTCATCGTAAAGCATGTTGAAAGACAAACAAGACAATAATAGTAGAAGATAGTCAATAAAACAAAAGTATCATTCATATTTAGACGAGATACATTTTACGAATTATTATATAAAATGTAAATTTTACTGTAATAAATTCTAATTAAATTATTCATTTGTAATGCAAATAGAATACTATAAAAAATCTTTTAATAATCGTATTGATTTAGAGTACAAACCAGAAAAAAAACACGAGACTTACTGGAAAGAAAGTATTAAACAATTAGTTTAAAGTTACATGTACAGTTAAATGTTGACATAATGCCATTTGATATAAAATGAAAAATATCGATGAAAGTGTCATTCAGGTGTGGATGTGAGTATCGGACGAACATAATACCCTCACCTACACTCACACCCACACGCTTCACAAATTTCTTTTGGTTGAAAGTTCCCTCATGTTCACGTTGAATTAAATATTCATGATTCAACAAGAATTGATTTTATACTATTTTATTCTAAATAATGAATTTCCTTCTTCAAGATCTGCAAAATATATCAGCGCTTATAATTTATTTATTCATTTTTAGATGAAAACAGATAATGTTTCTTGTATTCGATTTAACAAACAAATAATATTCTTTTGAAACAACCTTTTAGTTATATCGATTGCAGCAGCCAATATGAATTTTTAATATAAATAAAACGTCTTCCATATTTTTCTTTCCTCATTTTTGATCCATTTTTTTTCTTGCAGAAAAATCTGACAGGATTCTTTATAATCTTGAAGTTCAGTCGAGCTTCTTTTTATTGATGAATAGAATTAAAAAAAATTCTTATCACAATTGCAAGACGAGTGTATATTCTTTTTCCTCACTTATTTTTATGCATTTAGACGATGAACTGTTAATATTATGAAATGCATAAGAACTATAGCCGTATACGACGACTGTATTTTATAAATTAAAGTAAAGCATATGAATATTTTATAGTAAAACTTTGTTATATATTCGTTGGCCTCTCACAAGGCGCCCAATGATAATAAGGTCATCAGCTTAATTTATTTTTCCTCTGACACATACGGATTCAAAAAAAAATACAAAAATATTGCAATTATTCAACAAATTTTTGATTTAATT